GTGTGTGTGTGTGTGTGTGTGTGTGTGTGTGTGTGGTTGTCTAGGCGATGAACTGTGTTCCATCGTCGTTCCTCAGCAGAGAGAGGAGGAGTGAGGTCATCATGAGAGGAGCCGTGGCGTCAGAGAAGGAGGCTCTGCTGCTGGGTAAATATCTATGTATAGATATGTATATATACATAGATATATATACACACACAAGTATTCCAGACTGATAATCTCTGAAACTCAAAAGTAAATAGTAAATGCAGCAGGACTGAAATCTGAAGGATTGTCACTTGAGGTTTGTTTATAATAAATGAATAAATTCATCACTGAGGTAATAAATCAAGAGAGAAGTAGAGTCGTGTTCTCATAGACTTCTATAGAACCAGAGGAGTCGCCCCCTGGTGGACACTAGAGAGAATGCAGCTTTCACACTGAGTGTTCCTAGTGCTCCCAGTGCTCCCAGTGCTCCCAGTGTTCCCAGTGCTCCCAGTGTTCCCAGTGCTCCCAGTGCTCCTAGTGTTCCTAGTGCTCCCAGTGTTCCCAGTGCTCCCAGTGCTCCTAGTGCTCCCAGTGTTCCCAGTGCTCCCAGTGTTCCCAGTGCTCCCAGTGCTCCAGTAGAACATTAAAGATGAAGAGTAGGACTGTGTGTCGGGGGGGTCGGAGGCCTTTCAAACCAGAAGCACAGTCAGACTGAAACACAAACTCTGTCTGTTCTTCTTCTCTGATCACTATCCTGCGTCTCACTCGGCTGAATCCATTACCGCTTCCCTTCCTCTAAATCCTCCACAGCAGCAGCACATTCATCTCTCTTAGCCGAGCCACGAAATCCAGATATGAAGGAGAGAGGAAGGCCGGTGCTTCGTCTTCCTCCAGGCTGCTGCTGCAGCTTTTATTCTACAGGAGACGTTTAAAGACACACAGTAGTTTGTATTCAGTCGGGATGAGGAAGCAGTTCATGTGAATGAATGTATAAGTCTGAACACAACAGAGCTCTCTGTAGTTTGATTTCACCTTCACTTCATCGTCTCTGTGAGCTGAAGATCAGCAGAGAAGAAGAACGGATGCTTTGTTCACATCAAACGCAATTACATACAAGTCAATGCAAGGATGCGAATGTACACGAATGTACACGAATGTACACGAATGTACACGAATGTATACGAATGTATGCGAATGGACGCAAATGTACGGGAATGGACGTGAATGGATGTGAATGGAGCAGTGTTCACTAGGGCTCACTAGGTTCAGGGAACACTCCTCCGGATGATGAATCAGACACGACAGCGTTTAGTTTCCAGGATATATTATTCTTTCAGCTGTGAAACGTCAACACGGAGGGTTCTCTCCGGAACGTCTAACGCGAGTGATGCAATATAAACACAAGAGATCCAGCATAAAGCAAAGTGAGACATGTTTATCCCTTTTGAGCTTCCATACCAACAGGTCACTGTATTAAATATGTTGAATATCTAAAAACACAAATAAATGGAAAAATTCCTTCACAGGAAACACACACACACACACACAGTCATCCTGGTGGAGGGAATTGAATTAGGTCTGTCTGCAATTGCCAGCGTTATGCCACATAAATCAAGGAAATAAATATTGGCTGTTGGTTCGTCCTCCAGGGGACACCACTCTTACCACCCCCCCACACTCACACACACACACACACACCTTTACAGGACCTTTCAGAAATAATCCAGTCGGGAGTGTTTTGTGCTCCAGTGTTTCTGTTTGTTGTTCAGCTCTGAAGCTCCGAACGTCCTCAAATTAATTGTGATCAAGAACAGAATCACAGGAACAAGAGTCTCTTGTGTCGGATGTGTTTTCTGTTCTTAAACCAGGAAACGTGGTAAAAAGATACAAGTATTAGTATTTATTCTACAGGTGTGATCTAGTTTGATTGTGTCCCAGTGAGACATGTTGACCACGTTGGTCTTCTTCTCTTCAGGCGTCATCTCCACCTTCCTCCATGTTCATCCGTTTGGAGCCAACCTGGAGTATCTGTGGTCCTACATCCAGAGACTGGACTCTAAGGTGAACTTTCTTTAATATACCAAAATAATAATCTGTTTATTTAATACACAACACTTATTACATATTAATATTAAAACTGCTGCATTTCTTTCTGCATTTTTTAATGTCTGATTTTGGTTCTACTCTCTCTCTGTCTGTCTGTCTGTATGTCTCTCTGTCTCTCTGTCTCTCTGTCTGTCTGTCTGTCTGTCTCTCTGTCTGTCTGTCTGTCTGTCTGTCTCTCTGTCTCTCTGTCTGTCTGTCTGTCTGTCTGTCTCTCTGTCTCTCTGTCTGTCTGTCTGTCTGTATGTATGTCTGTCTGTCTGTCTGTCTCTCTGTCTGTCTGTCTGTATGTATGTCTGTCTGTCTGTCTCTCTATCTGTCT